GGAATGTTTGGAATGTACAAATTGCCTTCACACACTGCTGCAGCTACAAAAGTAAAAAGCAAAGCTTAACAGACTGCAGATCTACCACATACACACAGCACGGAGAGACAAAAAATGAAAAGGTCAGCGCCGTTATAGTAATACTCACATACAAAATTACAATACCAGCAACCATAGTGAAACACATTTATCAATAAATGACCAATAAATGAAGCTTTCCAGTTTCCCTTTGGGGCCTTGAATCTCTCAAGTGCCAACTCACCACATTACTTTTGGGAAGATGTACAGCCTGGGTGATACTTCTCTCAAGCACTCCTCTTAATAGGGACTAGCACCCCATTTCTCTTGAGGGGCTTCTCTCAAGCACTCCCTTACTATGTTACTTCTGGCAAACATGAAACCTGTCCTGCAATACCTGGGATGTCTCCCTATTGGCATGTGAAGTACCTATTCAGGAGTAACCATTTACCTTTCCTCTCCATACATGATACAGATTACTGTCATACTTCATCAGAGGCAGTTAAAAAAAAAGGAGAGTTTTACCATGTTCAAGGGAACCTGCATCCAGACCCAACAGAGCTGGGATTAGTGGGAGCTCCTCAGTAATCACTTGAGTAATCCCATCATCTCTCAGAATATCAGATTTATCAAAACAAGTCTCATGGCCTAAATAGTCAAAGCCCAGTTCATGACACATCTCCTTTAAAAATTCACTAATTTACTCATTCTTTCAGACATTTCCCTCCCTGTAAAATCAATATATATAGGTGTTATAAATAAGAAATATACAAGAGAGTTTGGAAGAGCAGGATATTACACCAAAAATAAAAATAGATAGAGGGCCCTGAACAGGGCTCCTCTCTGGTGGAGCGACCAATGTTTCTTATGGTGCATCACTGTGATATGCTTCTGGGAATAGGATCTTCTGAAGTTCTTCTAATGATGATGAAGTCAGACTACTCCGGCAGAGGTAGGCGACCTATCACACCACTGTTTTTGCTTGGGTCACCCCTGTCTTAGGAAGGTGGGTCAGATCTTTCACCCACCCCTGAATCGGCAGAGTGGTCTTAAGTAAAACTTCAGCCATTTGAGTTATCAGCTCTACTGCCTGTAATGCAGAGTAGGCAGCCAATAGCTGTTTTTCAATCATACTGTACCTTTCTTCTGCTCCTTTGCAGACCAGAAACCTATGGGGGTCCGAACAGACCTCTGGCATTGCCACAGGCTCCAGCCAAAGCCATCCTGAGTGACGTGAACGTCCAACTCGGCTGGGAGGGTAGGAGCAAATACACCCAATGCCTGGGTTTGGTTAACTGCCAGTTTCGCCTGTTGGAAAGTGTCCTGTTCTGTTTTCCCCTAGTCCCATAGCTGACCCTTTTTTAATTTTTTTATTTTTTTTGAGTCTGTACAGAAGCCTTAGCAGCTGTGCAAACTGAGGTATAAAGGAATGCCAATAACCCAATATGCCTCAAAACTCTTGCAGCTGCTTTGGTGTTGTAGGGACTGGGAACGCCTGAAACTTATCTATGACAGCACTGGGTAGCACTTTGGTCTTTTCTGACCAAACTATCCACAGGATGTTTACAGACAGGCCCAGACCTTGGACCTTTTGGGGATTTATAGCCCATCTCCTCTGTTGCAAATAGACAGTTAATGAACCTGCTGCCTGTCCTACTGCCTCCAGTGAGTTGGATGTCAACAGGAGATCATCAATATAATGACATAAGTTGACATTGTTAGGTTTTCTCCAATTAGCCAAGTCACATGCCGCTAGATTATGACAATATGTTGGTGAACGCACGTACCCCTGTGGCAGTACCTGAAAGGTCCACTGCCTGCCTCCTCACATAAACATAAACCAATTATGCGATTCTTCAGCCATTGGGATACTGAAGACTGCATTTGCTAAATCTAGGACACAACAGTAGGTTTTTATCTTCCTACTCAACGTGTCCAATAGGGAGGCAATATTGGGTATGGCCACATGAACAGGTGGCGTGACCTTATTTAATTCTCTGTAATCCACTGTCATTCTCCATGTGCCATCCAACTTTCACATTGGCCATGTGGGGGAATTACATGGGCTGTGTGCAGGTCTTATAATGCCCACTTTTTCTAATTTCTGCACCACTCTCAATATTTCATCTTGCCCACCCAGGAGTCTATACTGCCTTACATTAGTAATCCGGTGTGGTTTCAGCAGGCAAATAGGCCCATGTTTCACGTGGCCTCTTAATATTGCCTGCACCGCCTGGCTACTGATACATCTCTGTCAAAGTCTGAGCTCTGCCACAGTTGTTTGGAGAGCCAGACCCCATAGAATATCTATGCCCAGGATGTATTCCTGGGCTGGGGCAATAGACACCTTGTACTCCTGAGGTGGGAGGCACCCAACCCCCAATTTCAATCATGTTTGTGTGACAGGAACAGTCTGTCCTCCAAAACCACCAATCATCACTCTGTCTCCATCAAATTTAGTCGGATCTCTGTAGATAGTTGATGTTCCTGCTCCAGTGTCCAATAATGCCATACCTCTCTGAATATTTTTTCAGGACCAACAAATTGCTCATTCTACATAGGGCTTCCAGTCCGGTCTGGAGACCCTAGGGGGACTAACATCCCTCGTCACACCGTGAATTGTGCTATGCCCAATTCTTTTGCTACTGGTGGCTCAGGCATCGTGGCCCTGAAGTGACTTTTTTTTTTTTTTTTTTATTAGGAACAATGAAATCTTCTAGGTTCCGTGTTGTTGTTGGTATTCTCTCTATAATTTGGTTATAAACCGTTGGTTTCTTAGGGTAGATTCTGAAATTTTTGATTGCCCTTTAGTAGTCTCCAAAGCTGGATAAGGACAGGGTTGGACTGGGGGTCAATCTTAGCAAATCGAACCCCAACCCAAATTAAATCATTAAACATTTGTTTTCGGGAAACCCTTATGTGTCCCAACTGGGGAGCTTGAGTAGCTGGCGTCTTGGTTTAATCACTGACAGGACCTTGGCTTCTTCTAATGTCCAAATTTTGTACCTAGTCCGAAGGCGTTCTGTTTCTCCTAGGTCAGCCACTAACTGGGCAGCCTGCTGGACTACCCCTTCTGAAGCCACCAGGGGATTTAATACAGAGACTAAAGTACCACAGAGATAGGAGGGGGGCTTGCTGTAGAATTAAGTCTCTCATCCCCACTGAGAATGTGACCATGTCAGGGCCATCAAATGTGTCTTCATAAATTGCTTTCCATACATCTAGTTCATGGATATAATTATGAATGTCCTCCATGGAGGACCACATGCCTATATGTAGAGGTATACCAGATTTATTCAGCCATACCATACAGCAGGCCACCATTAACCATTCTGTTATAGAATAGTTTTCATTAAGACACTGATTACCTGCATATAACTTCTGCTTGAGAGCTGGATGGACAGTCATGGTGGCCAACTTGGATATTTCTGGGCCATTCACCATAACACTTTCTGCCACAGAATCCCACAGTCTCAAGCTGGCACGCGGTCTCTAGGCTTCTGCCAAATTTGCTGTACTAAAGCCATCAATTCTGCTGCTGTGTATGGCTGGGCTGTTATATGCAAGTGAGTCTGGGCAAGGGGCCACTGATCAGGCAGCACCCCTACCAGTCTACCCTGTATTTTCTTTGTGTTCTGAGTTCTAACAGGATGAACCTCTATCTGCTGAAATCGGATATTTTAGATCTAATTTAGAGTTTTCATCTTCTTGATCAAAGTCTGTTGATTCAGGAGTCTGGTCATTGTTTATTGACATGTTACAAACTTGACCTATTGAAAGAAGCAGAATTGTTTTTTTTCCACGTTAATACCCTAAGTTCTTGCTCTAACTTTTTGATACGGTCTCTCAAAAGTTGGTTTTCATTTGCTAAAGTATCATTTCAGCATGAATTAAAGCATTTAATAGTGGCCATGTCACTGCAGAGACAGCTAATAGTCATTCTTTTGTAATTAGCATGTCTTTCCTAAGTTCCTGAAAGTAGTCTGCCACGCAATATGGGGAGATATTTCCCATAAAGCGTAGGGGACCCTATTTTTCAGTGATAACTGCTAGTTCATAATAGGGAGATCCCACAAATCCTAGGATCTGACCCAGAATCATTTTATCTAGTGGGGTAAGGTTCTCCTCCGACCATTTATAGAAATTCCAAAGAAAGGACATGAAGTAATTTTTAGTATATTTGGCCTGCTGGCTCACCAAGTGTATAGTCAGTGAATATACAGCTGTTTCAATTAAGAAATATACAAGAAAATTAGGCTAAACAGGTTACCATGCTTAAGATGAATGGATGGAAAGCTTACCCTTGTCTTGGGCTTGCTGAGAAAATTGCAAGTGTAGCAATCTCCAAAAGAGTTCCTTCCCCAGTGGTTGTCAGTTCTTAAATGGCGTCTAGGAGAGATGGAGCAAAGCTCCATTCCTTCTGGCAGCATAGGTGAATTGCTTTCACCTGTGCTCCCAGGGTTGACTCATTGCTCACCTCAGATGATCAATCTGAGGTACAGGCCATATTCAGCATTCCCATGCACTTCTCTTGCCATATTGCCACTAAATTTTCCAAAGGAAGTTGTGATGAAATAAAGTTACTTTAGATTTCTTCATGTATCATTCCTTCCTCAGTGATATTCCCTCAAGTATCATTTTCTTACCAGTTAAAACTGGAGATGAATAGTAGCATCGCATTTAACCGATTATATAGGAAAGCAGAATACACTGCAAAGTCCTTGTTCCTTATTAAATTTATTACCTGTGTTGGCTTGTGTTGATGCAATATCAGAGGACTGTTAGGAACCATTCATAAAACATAGTGACAAACCTTCATCTCTCTCATAGCCTTGCTTTCCAATATATACTGCTGTGTTCCAGCTGCAAAGTGGAGTGTTGCAGTTTTTATCACCCACAGAGCTCACCAACATTTTACTGTCAGCTTTGTTTACCTGTTCTTTGCAAAGTATATCTGAGAACAATGTATGTTTCTGTTCCAGTTATCCAGTTCGGCTTTGTCACACTCTTCGTTGCCTCCTTTCCTCTGGCACCACTCTTTGCTCTTCTGAACAATATCATAGAAGTTAGGCTTGATGCAAAAAAGTTTGTTACAGAACTAAGGAGGCCAGACACAGTAAGAGCAAAAGATATAGGTAAGTAATGGAAAAAACATTAAAATGATGAGAATACAAAGTATTCAATGGAGGGGGAAAAAAAAAGAAAGATATTACTAAACCCCTTAATAACTTCTGTTTTTCACTTACAGGAATTTGGTATAACATTTTGAGTGGTATCGGAAAGCTTTCGGTTATTATTAATGTAAGTATGTGATTTTAGGAGCTTAACTTATTTGTCTGACATGATGTAAAACTGATTCTTAAATGCTATAAAATATAATAAAATCTAAGTTATCCAGTCCTTTCTTGTGGAAGTGTAAAACAGAATCTGAATTATGAAGGAGATGACCATTTACTTACCTCATTTTCTATATACTTATGTTAGATAGGACAGGAAGAGTAATTCATATAAAAATAACTCATATGAATGGAATCTAAACAGACAACACTCCAGAGAGTTGATAAAGATTTATCAACTCATTCACTGCCATAATTTTTCTGTCACTCTGCTATGATAGTTGTTGATATGAATAAAAAGGTTGTAAAAATAAAATCTAGAAGTACATTCTAGCCCCCAGATAGAAGAACAAGTGTTATTTCTTTGTTCTGATTTTTACAAATATGGAGGAATAATTTTTCCCGCAGAATGAGTTTTTCTGGAAGAGTAGCTTTTTTATATTTTTCAGTTGGCTCACACATTTTCAAAGCTATAAAATGTGAGAAAGGATATTATTTAATAGAATGAGACTGATTAATATGTAGAATACCTGTATGTTTGGTGTACAGATTTGTACATAAGAATTATGTATGCTTTATGATTAAAAAAAACTCATGTGGAGGAGTTTAGTTTCAATGCTGTGACTTTTTGATCCATAGATTTCAAAGCACTTTAGAAATGTAGCTAATTGTCATTACTAAAGGAGAATGTGTGCAGATGTGCTATATAATTTATTTAATTTATTTAAAAATAACTTCCAGCACAGCAGCATTCTGTATCAATTTGTAAGCTATCGTTACAACTTAGGCAACTATAATGCCGCCAGAGAAGCAGAGTTGTTTGATACAAGTCAAAGATTGTTCACTTAAGGCGTTAGTAGCTTACAAGACTTAAGGCAGGATATTTGTGCAGCCTTGCACATACCCATGAAAGTTGCTGTCAGGCATAGGTTTCAGGCTTTCCAGAACTGATCTGTGCTGGATGAGCAAAGCAGCTTCTTGGTTTTATCTGAATAACTTTGCAAGTTTATGATCCCTGACTATTTACTGTCTCAAAAAAAAAAAAAAAAAAAAAAATTTAAATATCAGTTAGTTAAATATCAGTTAAGTATCAGTTTCTGTCTTGCTGACAGAAATGTAAATAGGTCTATGCCCAATATGAAAAAAAAAATTGAATGCCCAGATCTGCTTCTTTTCTGCATATGTACAACGTTGATGCAGAACTATTTAGCAACATGTAGTTCTGAACAAATCTGATAATTCTTGTTGATGTGATCTAGATATTCATTTGTCTGATTTACTCACTAGTTTCATTCCAGCATGAGATCCAGTGGTGCTGAATGTTTAAGTCCTGCTCCAGAATGGAGAGTAGAGGATGATTTACACTCAAATGGTTTAACAGAGATGACACTGTGTATCAATACCAAATTATGCTTCAGAATATACCAACCAGCTATTATGTCTTACACTTTAAAGCTAAAGAGCTTCTAATGGCTTGAAAGAGAAAAAAAGTTAAGAGAAATGTAAAACGATTAGTTGTTTTTGCTACTCTATGATCTGAGATATATGCCATCTCCCTAACTATTGCCTTCTCCTGGAGGCACAAATCAAATTACTGTGTTTATATGATCACCCAGTGATTGAACCCCAGTACAAGGTCTGCCCATTTAACTTGCACTTCATCACTCTTCCAAACTTATTTGAACACAAAAATTATCACCTAAATTAATTTAAGCTGAGACACATTAGACACAGATTCACCATGTTGTCTCTTTTTTTTTTTTTTCCTCCATCTATTTGTGTGTGTGTGTGTCAGGCTTTTGTAATTGCTGTCACATCTGATTTCATTCCACGCCTTATGTATCAATATGCATATAGTCAAAATGGAAGCATGCATGGCTTCATCAATCACACGCTCTCATACTTCAATGTCAGTCATCTCAAGGCTGGAACACAACCAGAAAACTCCCCATTTGCACAGGATATTTTATTCTGCAGGTAAAGTACTTCTGATGACAGTTTTCTATTTCTTTTGACGAAGTTTCCCCAAGTGGGAACTGATAATATTTGTGTCTTAAAAAGCTGGTTCTAAGAATTCTGCTTTTAGACTATTCTCCCAATGTTAGAAGGTGCTTAGAATGAGTTTTCCCACACATTAAGAGGCAAAATATACAATTTTGCAGACTTAATCAAATAAAAAATCCCTTCCATATGTGTGCAAGAAACAATTTTCATTAAGGACAAAATTCAGCTTTTAAACTAGATTCTCACTAATTAGAACCAGACTTTCCTTTTTGTTAAGCTCAGTGTTTACTTTATGAGATTTGAGTTTTCAATATGCTCTGTCTGCCTTTAAAACCTGCACTGTTTCTTACGTACAGATCTTATGCTTAAATTTCATCTTTTCAGGCTAGGGAAACAAGGGCCAACTACTAATAAATATGTTGAAAATATCTAGTCCACTACTCCTCAGGAAGAGCAGAAAACTGTACTGTGGAGATAGTTATGGAACAGTTACAGTTTATAAAAGAAATCACTATAACAGTTCCAACACTGTCAGTGTAACCTTGCTTTTCCACAAAAATATCTGTGAATTCAGGGAACCGCTTCAAGCTGATGCAGCTGAAGGCTGTTCAAAATTGAGCCCCATGGTCAGTGTTGTAGTCAATAGCCTGGCTCACTTTCCTTTCTGATTCACTTGGAGTCACACTGTATTTAGCTTCTGCAGTCACAAGAGATCATTGCAAAATTTTCTCCTTCATTTCCCTTTGAAGAGAGCTTTAATTTATATAGTTTTTACTACACAGACATCTTAAATTTGTCTCCTTTGTTTTGACACAGAGATATGTTCTCATACATCCTCTCTCTTATTCCTGATATATGCCATGGTTTTTGAATTTCATGTTTCTGACAGAAACCATCTGTAACTCTCCTAGTCCCAAAACTAATTTCACCTCTATGTTTCCCAACCTCCTTTCTCCAACTCAGATTTTGGGTCTCCTGCTTTCGTTGTTTTACTCACGGATCAAATTTTTGCTGAAGTGTAAAACAAGGGGATTCTGAAAATCTGTCAGCATATTCTCTCAAATCAGTGGCAAAACAGGGTTGCAAAACTAACTACCAAGAAGAGCAGAATGATTAGACAAATATTACAGGTGAAATTCACATCAGTTGCACCTTTCCTTGGAATATATTTTCACTGAATCCTGAGATACTGGCAGAAAATACTGCTAGTTATTGAAGATAGTATTGAGTGTTTTCTTAATAAAACTTCAGAATTCTTCCTGTCATTCACTTGACTTCATTCTCACTGACAAATCTGTTTTCAATATACGGATAGATTTCTCCCATTATTACTTCCAGTGATACATGTATTTCTGCATTTGTAACTTTTAAAATAAATTGTATTTAGAGAGTAGATGCAGATCTCTAAGGCAGCCAGATTTTTCTAATAGGATTGCAGTTATGACTATCTCTTCTACAAATCTTTAAGAGACACTCTCAGTGTGACATGGAATGCTTGTAACTAAAGCTAGTTAGAATGCACACTTCTCTTGCCAAAGCTTTTTCTTCATCTTACAGTTCTTGAGAGAAAAAAAAAGTTATACATTTCAATTCAATAAAAAAATAAATAATACAATTGGTCTTACTTATTTGTTGAGTTTACTCTTCTAAAAGTAAAGACAAGCAACCATCTGAAGGTGAAGAGAGAAACTTACTTTGTAATTAGGCTTTTAACTTAAGTTCTGTAAATTGCCTTCTAGAGCAGTCTACCTCTTTTCATTGATTATTTAAGGGATCATATTCTAGTTAGATTACTGAAGTAGCCAAAAACGTTCCCTTGCTTCTATATGACTGCATATTTCTGAATTAAGACTACATTCCCAATTGCTACTAAATCAATTTTTACCATGCTTATTTTTCTGATTGAGAACAGCCCTGCAGTGAGGGATTTGGGGTCCTGGTGGATGAAGAGCAGGACATGGGCCAACAGTGTGCTCTTGCAGCCGAGAAGGCCAACATTATCCTGGGCTACACTGAAAAAGGAGTGGCTCACAAGGAGAGGGAGGTAATTGTCCCCTCTGCTTTGTCCTTGTGAGACCCCATCTGAGTTCTGGGTCCAGGCCTGGGGGCCCCAGTAAAGGAAGGATGTGCAGCTGTTGGATTGGGTCCAGAGGGAAGCCATAAAGATGTTCAGAGGGCTGGAGCACCTCTCCTATGAAGCAAGGTTGAGGGAGCTGGGCTTGTTTAGCCTAGTGAAGAAAAAACCTTAGATTAGAAAAATTTAGATTAGATGTTACAAAGAAATTTTTTACTCAGTGTGGTGAGGTATGGGAGCAGGTTGTGTGGAGAAGTTGTGGACGCCTCATCTCTGAAGGCATTCAAGGTCAGGTTGGACGGGATCCTGGGCAGCCTGGTGTAGTGCCTTACAAACCTACAGATGGTAGGGGAGTTGGAACTGGATGATCCTTGATATCCCTTCCAACCCAAGCCATCTATGATTGTTTGATTTTCTTAGGAAATAATGTGTTTTGCTGAAATTGCTTGAGGAGGGGTGGAAGGAAGTTCTTTAATGAGACCTACCCATCTGTTCAATACCCATCTTACATAAAATCTTAAATATTTGAATGTAATCATTTTTGAGAAAGAAATCTAGAAGTTGGTGTAGTCTGCACATGCTTACCTTCCACTCCTGCACAGGCAAAATATAATCATGCTTAGGATCACATTAATATTAAGCAGTGGTATTTGTCTCGCCTGTAATCCATGGAAAATATTCTTTTCCATTCCCTCCGTGGTCACTGGAGGCATTGTAAATGCAGAGAATAAATGCCATCTATCTTGGGCACCTCTCTTAAGAATGCCTATGGAATGTACATACCTGCTTACTTTGACTACAGATAAAGGCTAGATGAGTGCATATGGTTACGATTACTAACTTTTAGGCAGTTAAGAAAAGATAATAGAACAGGAAATTCATTCCCAGTCAGGAACTTCTGGGAAGGAATCTGGGCTGCCTCTTATGTGGTCAGATGAGAGCTGAGAGCAGGCAAAAAGAGAAAATAAAAGCTCTCCTGCATATAAAACTACTTGTGGTAGACAAGGTAAAATGTCTTAAGCTTCAGGGCTCTCCTCTTTCTTTGCTCATTATTCTGTTCCCGTGAGCTCTGCTATTTCCTGTGTTAGTATTTGCAATGAATTATTGCTTAGCATTATGTTAAGCACGAGAGTCTGCAGCATCTCTATACTTGTCCCACCCACTAGTAAGACTGTGTAGCTCTTTATTGCTCTCTGTTCTTACCACGTTTTAATTTGTATTACAGAATTAGTGTGTGTTTTTCTTTGGCAAATTCCTCTATCCATATGAACCTCTCACTTTGTTGTGGCTTTGCTGTATTAACTTTGCAACTGTTTACCTGGTCTCAGTTACCGGACTCTGCTTCTGGAATATGACTCTACCAGTGTATCTAGAAATACACTTCTCAGATTACTGTGGGTTTAATGAGGAGGTGAAATACGGGAAGGGAATAACACATATTAGGTATAAAAGTAGTCCCTGCCTGGGAATATCAGGTCTGTGCTACTATTTAATAAATAGATTTAATAAATAGATTGCAAACATGCCCACATGCTACTCTGAATGAGAAACAACTATGAAAGTATTTCTGTGCCCTTATCAGGAAACAGTTATGAAAAGATATCCATTCATTGTTTCATTATCAGCCACCTCATTTGCATCTTACCAAAGTCACATCTTTGTGTGGAACTACGATTGTGATAAAACACGAGGTATCTTGCTAGTGTCCCAGGAGACAGGCAACAAGCCCTGTCCCTTAAGCAGGAAAAAAAATCTGTTTTTCTGCTTCTGGCAAGTATGTTGGGAACAAGTTGGCCTCTCTTAGGTTTCTGTGTTCTCTAGAGATAAACGTGGTTAAAATAAGCCTGAATTTGCTCTTTACGGGCATTGCCAGAGATTAAAGTATCTTAAAAATAACAATAGCAAACCAAAACCAACTCTCCCATCAAAAATACAGAATAGATTCGTTGAAGATTTTGAGCAGCATTTAATACAATGCTGTGAACTCTTTGACACTGCTTCCAAAAAAAATTACAGTAGTGCCAATCTGACACACAACATTATTGTATTTTTTTTTTCCAGAGCAAAATGGTCTCTGTGTAGCTGAAGGCAAATTTAAAGCAAAGCTTGCAAAGTTATGAGACATAACTCTAGTCCTTTTAATCTTCATAATTAGGTATGATAATGGAGTACATGAAAACATTCTGGTTACACTGAAAAGAAAAAATGCAGAAGATAGGGGGTAATTACAAGGACTTTTCCCTTAACATAACTCTGCTTCCATATTGAGCAAATTTATAAAATGTCTTTGAAATACTTAATTTCCTTACTGCCCTGGGATTCGTCTAACCTACACCTGGTGATCAGTACTGCATTCTAATTTTTTCCCTGAACAATTCTTATATACCTGTGCACTGATGAAACACTACTTCCTATTGATTCAGTAACACTGTCTTCAATTTCTTGTTAAACACCGGCTTAAAAAGGAGACTAAACAGCTCAGCTTATTTAGATTCATTTGCAGTTCCAACTACCTACCCACAATCCACAATTCTGATTTTTTCTTTCTTTTTTGACAAATAAACTACTTGGTAAATATTTCTTTCTTTCTCTGCATTTCTTTTACCTCTAGCTGCAGATGAGTTTTGTCTAAGTGATGCCTGATTCTTCTGTCTGTTTTCACTTAATTTCCCCAACATTTCCCTACTTTCAGTGTACAGTTTTCTTTATTCTGTTCTCTATTCTTAAACCATATTGATTACTTTTTTTTTTTTTTTTTTTTTTTAAAGTGGAATTAAAATGGAATTAAGAGTTGTTTGGTCTTTAAATTCAATAGTCTTTGGAGCATCAACTGTTTATTCTTTATAGCATACATTTTGAATGAAGCATTTTAAAAGCAAAGAATTGAAGAGATGAGAGAAAATACATACAAAGAATTCTGTCCATCCTCCCTCCCCCTCCCTCCCCCTCCCCCCCCAAGAAATGTAGTAATGTATGTCATTACAAAAAACCTAGATTATTGAACTTCAAAGTTTCTCATGCTACAAAATAATTAAAAAGGGAAATGGGTAGCCAAGGCCCACATATCTCGTCTGTAACTCTGACAGTACACCTTTCACCATTAATCATTTGCTAGTGTTCTGCTGTCTGTTGATTCAACATTATAAGCAGCAGAATTTCCCACTTGGCCAGGTGGCATTTTCACAGGATCTAATGTCCTGCAATGCTGTTATGGTTTGTGAGTCTCCAAATACATTAATTGGAAAGTCCACCACAGCTGGTGACCATTCCAGGTGAACCTTTGCTCAGTTCCAAGACTGGAATTGGCTTATAGTGCTAGACTAATTCCACAACAAACTTGGTAGCTTTCCTCGGCTTTGTTATTCAAGCATATTAAATTAAATGGAACTACATCTGGCCCTCACTGCAGCCCTGTTACACTGGTTTGAGAAGCAAATGGGATTACATGTACAAAAGATTGCAAGAGGGGAAATCTGACAATGCAGGCATAGCATAGGGCCAAATACAAACCCAGTATAAGATAAGAATGAAAGCTGGGATACTGTGTATGCTGGGATATTGTGTACGCATGGAGTAGAACTGCATTGTAACCCAACCCAGGTAATGCTTACACATATTAAAAACAAACCTCTTTTAAATTTTTCTCCTCTTCTTCCTCCTCGCTTTCTGTATCACTGGTTGTAACCTAGGTACCTTTGCTCTGAAAAGCATTCAGTTGTCTCTGTCAGTCCTAAGGGCAAAATTTCTGCATAGTTATCATTTTCAACTGTGGTTGTTACTTCCCAAAGTGGAGCAATACACGTGCCCTTCTTTAATCTTTTCTGGTGAATCAGTCTCAGCCCCTCCACTTTTTTTGCTGAATTCCTTTCAGTTTGTTCCTTTTATCTCTTTTGTTCATATTTTTTTCTTTCTTTCTCCTCTGAAATCCTCACAGCTGAATGGCTGAATGCAAAATTCTAGGTGTGGGTTTACCTGAGCTGTTCAGAGAAGGGATAATACCTCACAATACCATCATGCCTTCTGTATATATATATTCACAAGTAATACTTACCTGTTGCCATACTTTGCTATATTTCAAACTTGTACCAACCAGCTGACCACTACAAGCTGAAGGTTATTTTTATTGCATTTACTTTCAATGTTTATGCTTTCAAAGATCCTGTAGCTGTTTTAATTATTTTATGTGTTCCCAGATTATGCTCAGTATGTTTTCTGTCTGTATTTCTTATTGCTTTCTATATTCCCTGCTACTTGCAAAGTTTTCCAATTTAGGAGCATCTGTTAGTCTGTTGTTTATTTCCAAATGATTCATGGTGATACTAATCGTCTTTGCACTAAGCCACCAAGGCTCTGTTTTATCTTATCTAAGGCTAGTCAGATATTTTAGGAAGTGCCTTTCTTGTGGCTTGCCTTGTCATTTATGCAGAGGCAGGAACCACAAGAATGTGAGTCAGATATTACGTTAGATAATTTACTCCCAAATTGAACTCAGGTGTGATGAATGCAAGCTTGTCTCCTTTCTTCTGAGAATGCCTTGGATTGTTTTCTGCTTAAGTTTCAATACTTTATTCCCTGTATACTGAGATCAATTTACAAAATAAATGACGCATTTTGAACTCAGAAAAATCTAAAAATGTCCAACACTAGAATAATATTCTGCTCTTGGTTACATTCAGTGGCAATAGCCCAGCTATAATTCTAGAGTTGTATTATATAATACAGTTTAAAGTAGGAACATCTGGAAGATTTCATTTGTTAGATTTTGTGATTGGAAAATTGTGTTAATCAAAGCAGTTGGTATAGGACAATATTGCTGGAATTTTGTGACAAAGGAATTGTTTTCATTGACAGGTTTAAGGATTACAGAGAACCACCTTGGTCCCCAAATCACTATGAGTTTTCTAAACAGTACTGGGCGGTCTTATCTGCTCGCTTGGCTTTTGTTATTCTATTTCAGGTAAGTCTGTTAAGCTATGCGATTTTCTTCACAGGAATATTGATTAGAGATTGAAAGGCAAGTACCAAAGAAGCCCATCTTCAATAGAGTTTTTCTGCTTGCAAATATTCAAACTGTTTTGCTTGTACTCAGTTTACTGGTCTTTCTGAGGTGTCGTTAGGCTGCAGCAAATATTCTCCCTTTGGAGCTGTGTGGCATAATTCCTCATGGAATTATTTTCCTTCATGGAGAGCAGTTACATAGCCTGCACAGGATCTTGAACATTTTGGGTAAGTGGGCTTTCTCAGAGTCAGCACTTAAATTCTATCTTGTGAAACATTATTCTTTACACATAACAAGAAATAAACAGAAATAATAAATCCTCCGAGATCTTTTGTTATTTTCTACAAGTCAACAGAATACAGTCTGCCCCAGCATGGAAAGTTCATTGGTTCACTGATTTGCTTTCATGGCTTATATTCTGAATGGCAAGAGCCTTCTGTACTCCTTCTTGACCTGGGATCTCTTGACAAGTTTAACCAGTGTCATCCCTGATATTGAAATCTGCCTGTCTTTTCTTCTCATCTGTCAAATATTCCTAAGTGTACCTGAGAGTCTTGTCTGGTTTATATTGCCATCTTCTGCTTCTTTACTCTGACTTCAGTAATTTTCCACCATGACCTGCAAGACTTTTAAAGCCAAATGGGTATGATGGTGTAGGAAAATGCTTCCAGTAATCCTGCTCTTCAGTAATGGATTCTGTACCAGCCTCAACAAACTTGATGTTGGGAGCTGAGTACCTTTGAACCTCTGTAAGGAATAAGACTATTTTAACTACTTAGGCAATTTATTTGATGAATCCAAGTCAAATCCTTTTTAGATCTGATGGAAACATGTTTAAATCAGTCTTATCACTGTGATGGAACTGCTTACAAATGTGAGTGATTTTCTGAAAGAAGGCTGTCATCAACCATATAATACTATGTGACTTCAGGAAAATGTGCTTGATATGTGCATCGTACCTATAGCTCAGGTTTGGTTTTGCTTTAGGGAAGGTGTTTTGTATTATTCCTTCTTCTTTCATTGTATGTTTCTATGTTTGCAGAACTTGGTGATGTTCCTCAGTGTTTTGGTTGACTGGATGATTCCTGACATTCCCAAGGACATCAGTGAACAAATCAAAAAGGAGAAAAGTGTGCTTGTTGACTTCTTCTTAACGGAAGAGCACAAAAAACTGAAATTAATTGAAAGCTTTATCACATGTGACAAGCGCAAACATGAAAGTGGGACCAAAGACCAAAGAATCAGAGCTGCAAGCTTCTCTCAGTTTAATCAGAGTCAGAAAGGCAGCATTGTCTCCTTCAGTTCACAGCACACAGAAGTGTGACTCCACAAGGGGGATAACCTCTGCAATAACTTTTTACTTTGTTCTGTGATTCTGAAAAAAGAAAGGGAAGGAGAGACAGTTAAGGAAGGAATGGAACAAAAAAGGGTGCTTCTTTTTCCTTCTTAGAAACTCCACATGTAAGTGTCTCTGTTACATTTTATATGTTATCTGAGCTTCTACAATTTCAGAGTTTACCAGTACAGGATATGGGCTATGTTGAGCCTGTAGCTGGTCCCCATAGTGGTGCCTATCAACTGAGTAGGTAAGCAGGAATGCTCCTCATTTATGCAGTCCCTGAATACATTCCTTGTGAGGAATGGGAGATGGAAGGGATACTTCTGCCCTAATATCTGTCTTTTAGCTGATCTGACCAACTCTATTGAAATGTGCACAAGTCATGTTCTCATGGCTTTTAGCTGTCACTATATGGCTGATAACATGTAGAGTCTTGGGGGTTGATGTGCCTTCCTAACTTGTACTACCACTTAGTGATGTCACGGTAGAGCATTCAGGGCTACTGGTAAGTGCACTGAACTTTGAGAAGAGAAGGAACTGAAAATAACTGAGGACTTCCTATGTATCTCCATATATATCATATTTTGCTTTGACACATATTTTGCAGGACACTGAATGCATGTGATAATAAGCAGAAGCCACAATGTATGCATCAGAATTAAGTAAAGCTGCTAGAACTAGAAAGCTCATTGGCATTCATCATCCTGAACAAAAAACTGCATGTTTGATTCTTTTCTCACATAAACTTAATTCAGACAATATAATTTTTTTTGTGCCGTACTATATTGCTCCTTCTTCTTATACACATTTTCCAAAACAAGTGATTTGAAGACCTTCTGAAACAATGTAATGAATGTAGACTATTGACAGTGTATATATTTGGTGTTTATAAGTGATTCCAATAGGTAGGAAAATTACAGGAAACTGTTCTTTTTAAATACAATTCAAGATTTGTCCTAGTACGATTACTTCGCAGTCACCTGCAGACAGATGAAAAACATCCTTGTGAGGCACAGAAGTCATGATACTGTATTTTGTGTCTCAGAGAATGCACTTGATGTGATCACAACATAGCTATTAAAATTTAGTAGGTTTCCTCTGTTGTCACCTCAGAAAGAAAGGCACTGGCAAATTGGGTACCCATCTCATCTTGACATTGCTGTCTGAAAGAAATGCATGAATCACCCCTGGGAATTCTTGGCTCTTATTTTATTTTTAAAGGACCAACAAGCCCTGTCAGGGAATCTAAGGGCCCATACTTTATGTCAGCTGATATTAATGACAACTATGATCTCATTTGCACTACGTAGTATTTTGGTAGGGAGAGCTGAGGGTTTGAAACTTTCTACTTGTTGTGGTTTACATTTCTAGTTGATTGATTCAATTAACTTTCTTCAAAGCAAAATGTCTCTGACGGGGAGAAAAGTCAAGTTTTTAAACAGCAGAAATAACAGTCAAGCAAGAACTTTAGAATATTTTATTCTCCTTTTCTTTTTCCAGATAGGCAGAAGTACATGCATGGTTTAGAATGAGTTTCACAAGTTACACTCTTTTTCCAGTAACAAACTGGATGCAACATAGTCAAAGTGAAGGCTCTTCTTAACAGAACCATTTCTGCACACTTTCTGTCAACCCAGGAAATAGGCTCTTGCCTTTTAAAAAATTCTGAGTCACTTAAAAATGGTCAGAAAAAAAGCTATCCCAAAATTGAATGTATTAGGCACAGAATTTCCGTAATGAGCAACTGAAATGCTCTCTGTGATAATGTATTTCTAGATTTCCTAGCAAAAGGAACTATAGAAGAAGGCAGATATACACTGATGCTCTTGAGTTTCTCCTGAGATTTATATATCTCAACCAAACAAGGCTGGGAAAGAGGCACTGCAGCAAACACAGCTGATGTCCAGATTTGGATCTACTACGGTATCAAAAGCAGGACACAGAGCTTATCTTTACCTGTGACATGCTTTCTGTGTTTCTCTTAACTTGAGAGTTTCTTTCACTGAAAATTCCTGCATTTGCTACTTGACCTCAGTCCCTGAGGACTGCATTCATTGTTACACTTCTGTGGTAGCCTCTGGATTCTTCTGATACTAATTTCCATCAGTTCCTGTAACTGTAGATCACTGATTGATTCTTTATTCATTCCCAGTTTCTAACTTTTCTCCTTTGGACAAAGAAAGACTTTATCTGATTCCTTTTAATCAGTATACTCATAAGTCCAGACATAAAGTACCCCCTTACTATTACACGTATTTCAGAAGCAAACAATCATTATTTCAAGAGACATGCATGGAAAGCTCTCTCTAGGGAAGAGAGCAGGAATGCAAGTAGAAATGCAAAGCAGTTACAAAACCTCTGAGCTTTTGTGATTCCTTGCAATGAAAATGAGTTAAAATCTCTGCAAAAGGAAGGAGAAAAAGAAGTAGAGAAGAAATTTGTGCAGATGCCTCTAAACATTCTGTTCAGATTTTAGTAGATCTGTCCAATAGTTCCAACAGTAAAGTAAGAATAAAAACAACAGTAAAGTAAGAATAAAACAACAGTAAGAGCAAACAAATGAAAATCTACATCCCTTTGTGGATGAATATTTAATGCTACTCAGACACAGTCACAAAATACTGAACCCACATTCTAGGATTCATGTCTAGAGGCATTAAGAGGAACATACATAACACATACCTAATCAGAACAGTGAGAACAGTAAGTAAAAAAAACATAATAATGACCCTAATATAAAGCCTTAACAGAGGTATAACTGGTCCTGATTATTAGGCAGTGTAAGGAGACCTCTTAGTCTTTCTACTTCTAGCAGAATCTTACAGTAACTAACAGAGATTGTTGTTCCATGTACCACAGCTTCTCCTTTGTGCTGCTGGTGCAAGATTAAAACAGCTTTCTGAAGTTATTCAAGAGAATAAATTGACTCAGATTGAAGGTGTCTTTGCTCCTTGCTTCTGAGTCACACTACGAACTTAAACACCATTCTGTTAGAGAATCCAGATTCATACAGACAGATTAACCTCTTCACAGTGGCTTTCTCCAGTTTTAAAGAGGGCTTCCAAGAATTAAACAAAGCTGCAGGGGGATGTTAGCCCTTTCCATCATGCCTTTTTAAAGGAGACTTGCCCTCTTTTTAAAGCATCATCACTAGTAGAAGTATCACTGTAATTTTCTTCAGCATTCTCAAAAAGGAGAAAAATGTTGTTATCTAGATCTCTCCTGCAATTTGATCTTTCATGGCATTAAAAACTAGTTAAACATCGTCCAGGGAAGAAAAAGGTAGACTATGTGGAAGTATATCTGTTAAATTATTGCTTGGAAATATCTATCTCAACATGCACGGTATTTACCACTGTTACCAATAAACACTTCAGACTACAGGGGAGTCTGTTGCTGTTCTGTTCTGTTGCTGTTACACGCTCTCACCCTTTAACTAGGCATAGATGGCCTTATATCCCACTATTCTTTTGCTTTTGAGAAGAAATTGCAAACAGTTATTTGTTTATTTATTTATTTATTCGTTTGTTTGTTTGTTTGTTTGCTTTTGTGACCCATACTTGTAGGTAACTTCCTCCACACCATATATATTTCACATGTCTGGTAATATCAGTTTTTCAGATGTAGCAGCAGGAATTGTTTCTACTGCACTTAGAAGAGAAAGGAAAAGGAAGGAAGTGAATCGCTCTGAAAGTAATACCTATATTTTCCTGAAAAATACAACAAAAACACACAATAGCACTATTTGACAGAGCAAATTCTCAGCTACAAAACACTTTTTCAACACAGTCAAACAAATCAGCTATGCATTTTTGCCAGTCATGAACAAAAACCTGTGTGCCATGCTTGTTAAAATCTGCATGGACATCTGCAATGTGCCTTGTCTTTAATTTTACTGTTATCACTGTGTCATGGTTTTATGATTTTGGGCTATTGATATTCCACATCATAACATCATGTAGTACATTGGGAGTTAAGGATTTAACTCTCCTGGTCTGGATACCTGTCCAAGAAGAACTACATACCCCAGGGGACTTTGCGTTCAGAGAGGAGATAAAGCCCCTGGCAAGGCCATGAGACGAGGCTCTCCCTCCTTCTGCTTGTCCTGACTGCATGTCTTGCCTCTACATTAGAGTAAGGCTTTAGGCTTTCAGACACTTTCTCTCATTTAATTTGATTTATTAGCTCAAAGTCTAATTATATTGTATTATATTGTATTATGGTGTGTTACTTTGCATTCAATATCTTACTTAATAGATTAGTTTGTTTCTCCTCAGATTGTTCCCATTGTTTTGTTTCAGGCCCGTCTCTCTATCTGTTTTCCCTTATCTCTCTCTGGGGCACAGATCCATGGGTCCCTCCACCCCGCTAGTCACGGAAGGGGCCACATCAGCCCATAAACCATTGACACACTGCTGAAAGACAGCACCCACAACTTCACTGTGCTAGAATCCACTGATTAGTCTCCATAAACACTCAGCACATGTTATTGTATCTCAATGGGTGCAACCTTTTTCTGCATGGAGGAATTCAATTCCACTCCTTTGTTTCATATGCACTTCTATGTCAGATTCCATTATGTCAGACCTCCTCTCTGCTGCCATGAATTGCACAGCAACAAAATGTTACAGAATATTGGCAGGAAGGTTTAACATCTTCTGCCATTCCACTGACACCTGCCTCTGACATTGTGAGCTAATATAATAAAATAAGAGGCATTACTTTCAGAGCAGCCCTCATTCACCCAAATTCATAACTCTTGACTAGGAAGGACATTGATGCGTGTTTCATGTAAAAGGTCCACAGACAATGGATGAATTATATTTCTAGCAAGAAAATGAGTATGCATTCTGTATGTCATATGTGCAACCTAACCATTTCTAAAGGAAAGAAGAATCGCGTCACCAAAGCTATTCTGATTAAAGACGTTGTAGTACATGATGCTGGTATAAATAACATAAAATTGGGAAGAATATAAGAACATA